ACCAGGAGTTGATATGCAACGTGAAAGCTGCATACTCTGCAAAGAAGTTTAAGCTCCTGAACGACTGTACCAACACCAAGGATGTGTTGCATAAGCTGGGTGACACCGAAAGCGAGAGCAAAAGCGACGAGGACAAGGAACAACAGGTGGTGAATCAAGAAGTTCTTGTCAAACAGTTTTGTAAAAAAATTAACGTCAAACAAGCTGTGGACTTCTTGGTGGAGGCATGGGATCAGCTGTATGTAGCTACGATTCGTCACGCATGGAGACATGTGTTGCATGGTATCCCAGGTGAGAGGCGGTGTCAACCTGTGACTGGTGAGGTTCAGTCTGTTACAGTGGCATTGGACCTTGCAAGAGAAGCTGCGCACAGTATTACAGCTAAAGGCTTCTCCGATACCACCAACGAAGACATCCTGGAGGTGATCAGAGATCCTGAAATGACTGCCGACGAGATGTTGGAAGATGATCACGTCAGTGAAGAGGCAGGTGGTGCGTCAACCCCAGAAGAACACAAGTTAACGCATAGTAATGTTAAGGGTGCCATCGAGTGTGCAGAGAAACTGAAGCTCTTCCTTTCCAACGACCATGACGATGACCGCTATGAAGTCTTCCATACCCGGCTGGTGCAGGCTATGGAGCCGTACATCAAGGTGTATCAAGACAACATCAACACTAGCCGTCAAAGAAGCATTACCGAGTTCTTCGCCCGCAACCCACCACAGCCAGCCCAAGCCAATGATAGTGACAATGAAGGTAACTTTGAGGGATTTGTCAGGGAGGCCCTGACAACTATGGTGGATAGTGATGGTGATTCACCTAGTGATGGTGATTCACCTGAGGGCCAGTAATCTGCCCTCTGCCTCGGAACCAGCCTCCATCCCCGTATGCCGATCCATCTCTTCTACTAACGTAAATGTTAAACCTAACCTTTATTTTTCCTAACCTAACCTTTATTTTTCCTAATCTTACCTTTATTTTTCCTAACCTAATCTCTTCTATATTAATTGTGTGTGCATACCATCATAAAGTTAAGATAATATTTTTACTACAACATAGTTTTGTGTCGTCAAAAAGTGGAGTTTGGGGGTCGGGCCAGTCTCTATTGGAATTAATCCCATATGTTCTGTTGTTCACTTTACGTGGTTTTCACTTTCCGTGGTACCCTGTGGGTTGAATTGACTGCGTAAATCGGGGTACTACTGTATATATACGTACATATACACTCTTACTCTTAAATCACTACTGTAATGTGATAGAGGTGATTAATTTTTTTCTCGTGTAAAATATATGACGTTTATATTCAAATTATTCGCTGTCTTGCAAGGATTCCAGCAATGCAAATTATATTATCCTAACTTTAGTCTGAAATATCATATAAGATAAAAGCTATAAGCCTAAAACCCTGGTTGGGGGAGAGGGAGGGAAGGAGGGAGGGAGCATGGGGGAGGTGAGGTGATCTGTTTGACAGTTGGCACCCAAGGTCTCATGTGTTTATTTATCAGTCCTTAAGTGAATAAGCTTCTCTCTTATAAAATGCCACTAAAATGGCCTGGGAGAATGTAATTTACATTGCTGGAATTCTTGTAAGATAGTGATTAATTTGAATATAAACAAGCCATAATTTGCACTAGACATAACAATCTTAGTACCATAATCATTTAGTACAAGTACAGTACAGGTTTGCACTTAAGTCATTTATTTCTGTTACGTTTCTTTTAGTATGGTGTGTGCATGTAAATGAATAAAAATAAATGAAGAAATTTATGTAAATCTACCCAAAAATACAGTTGAAAAACTTTACATTATAAAATGTACTACAGTACTGTACACTAATGTACAAATTTTTTTATCTCTTTTGCAAAATATATGACGTTTATATTCAAATTATTCGCTGTCTTGCAAGGATTCCAGCAATGCAAATTATATTCTCCTAACTTTAGTCTCTGATATTATATAAGATAAAAACTTAAAGCCTACTGAAAACCACCAAACCCTGGCTGGGAGGGGGGGTAGGGAGGGAGGGAGGGAGGGGTGACAGTGACATGTTTGACAGTTAGCCCGAAGGTCTAGTGAAGTATTTATTTGTTTATTTATGTCCTTTAGATTAAGTTTTTTTTTTTGCTTATAAAATTTCATAGAAGTGACCGGGGAGAATATAATTTACATTGCTGGAATTCTTATAAGATAATGATTAATTTGAATGTAAACATGCAATAGTTTGCACTAGACTAAAATTTTAGTAATCATTTTGTGCATTATTTTGATTACATGTACAGTACAGCTTTTCCCTTACGACAGTGTGTGCACGTAAATGAGTTTCAATAAATGAATAAAGTTACATATATTGAGCCAAAAATATTCGTTGAAAAACTTTATGTAGACAGAGCTTGGATGGCTAAATTTTAGAATGACCAATAATTTCAATACAAAAAATACACAAATATTAAAGTGCACAATTTTCTTGACATTTACTCCACTGGAAACGAATAAAACATAGAACAGATTACTGAATTGGCAGACTAGCCCATTAGCTGATGCTCACAACAAAACGTGATGTTCGTAAGGATTTCGTTAATTGAATTTTTGTTCGTTAACCGAATTGAAGAGTCTTATGGAAGGTAATTCGCTAACCAAAGTATTTTTAACCGAACCATTCGTTAACCGAGGGACCACTGTATACAGATTTTAGTAATCCTTATTTTTGATTTTCTCTTAGATCAGTGGTTCTTAACCAGGGGGGCACCCCCCCCCCCTAATTTCTAGGGGGGGGGGGGTCGCGATATTCATCAGGAACCCATTCAAATGTGAGGCAGCTGATGTTTCGGATGAAGTCCAGGAGGAGTTCCTTGAGCTGCAGTTCAACTCCTCAGCTGAGGACGACTTCAAAACTCTGGATCTGGGGGTGTTCTGGGTCAAATACCTTCCTGTTTACCCCCTGGTCTCATGTCAAGCTGTTCGGATTCTGACGATGTTTGGATCCACGTATCTTTGCGAGGCTGCATTTTCTGCGCTGGTTGCTGTCAAGACCAAATACAGAAACAAGCTTAACGTTGAAGGGGACTTGAGCTGTGCTCTCTGGCACGCGGCCACGTATTCGGGATCTGGTAGCTCAGAAGCAGTGTAAAAAATCTCACTACATGTGTTCTCACTAAATACGTTGTTTATTTGCGAGTTGCTTATGCAGGCTCTTTTGAATAATTAAAGTTATTAAAGTAAAGAATGAAAAACTAGTTTCTCAATTCTCCTATTTATTTCAAGAGGAAATTGCTTTAGAATTTTTAGATTTAGAATTTTATATGAAGGAAGGAGGAGGGCGTGGAGATGAAGACCAACTGCTGTAGGGAGCACGACCATAAGAAGGGTAAGAGCCACTGTCTTAGGTAATAACAGCTTAACTAAATGTACAGTAAACCCTTCCACTTCTGGACAATTAGAGGGGGAGAGGGTGTCCTGATGTCGCAAATGTCCGGATCAACCCATTGAAGACGCATTAATGATAATCATAATATTGTGCAAGGACTTTATTGACAGGGGTAAAAGCAATAATAATATGATATTAATATTAATGGTATTAAATAATACAGTAATAACAACAACAATAATAATAATTATATAGTATTTAGTTTATTACTCTATAGACAGTATTGTTGTTATTACTGTTCGGTATATCAGTACACTATTATTTTAACTTCCCTCCTTTTACTTTTAATATAGTTTGAGGTCTCCAACAGTCATCTTAGAGGATGAAGAATCAAAACTATATTTCATTGCAAATGACTGCAAGGAACCCTTAGCCTTTTGTGTATCAGACACCGTTTGCTTAAGGACGCCATATTTGCTACAGCATCTTGCTACAGACCAACCACTCTCTAACTTCTGTAACAACTCCAGCTTATGAGCTACAGTAAGCTGTGTGTGTGTTTCCTTTTGGGTGCCATCACTACACAACAGTCACAAGGCACAAAATACACAAGGAACAACAAAAGGATGCGATCTAGAGGTAGCAAGATGGTGTATACACACCGAGACTACAAGTGAGAATGAGGAGGGATAAGCGCTGTGACTAGTGGTGGGAGATGCGGACTAGGTCCATTGTAGCACCAGGGGAGTAAACACAGCATACGGACTGAGAGAGAGACCGGATAGGAACTTGCCACATCCAGATGTTGTCCGGACCAACTGAAATCTGGATCTGAGAAGTCAGGAAGTGTGATGGTTTACTGTACTCAACGACTCAATTGCTAATCTTCAATCACCATTGGTGAGATTTTTGACACCAGGTATATTAATAATTGTGGGCCATAAGGTACAGCCATTCTAAAATAAAGAGTTTTGGCACAATGTTAGACTAAACTCACCATCCAACATCTTAACTTTGGTAAGGAATACGGTAGCACAGTACTTCCTTAGTTGAAACCACTTTTCAGTAACTCAACTTGGAGACTTCTAGCTTAATGAAAAGATCCCAGTCAGACTCTGATATGGGATACAGTCAAAAAAAAAAATGTGAGCAGATAAATTACCCGGTAGCCAGAAAACATAAAATCCAATCTATGTTCTGGAACATTAAATATATTACGGTATTAAAGAATGTCGCATAAGTACAGTATAGTACAGTACAATACAATACAATACAGTACAGTACATTACAGTACAGTACAGTATGTGCCATGGTTCCCCAATAGCATAGCCTAACACAGCACTTGTTGAAACAATAATGGCACCTGGGAACCTGATGCAGTCATAATCTCTAATAGATGAACAATGGTAACAGTTAAAATTACTTCATTTATTAGTGGTATAAAGAACCCAGCCAAACACAAAGATTCAAGCTGATGAAAATTTGGGAATCATTCAATGGGATAACTGTAGAAACTAGGAAGTCATGAAACCTTTAATGGCCACATATGGAAAATTCTCAATTCTGGATAAATACTGCACAAGGAATGCACAGCTTATGTTAAAAATTTTACAAGTTCAAAAATTTTTTTTCTTACATGAGTGTTGCTCCTTCAGTTTTGATTTCCTCTTTGTGCTTAAGTTTTATCAGTCTGGCTGACTCAGGCAAGGGGTCTTCTGGCACATCAGCTCGAGGAAGTTTGTATACATTTACATCACCTAGAATAAAACTTCAAGATAATTTAGCATTATCATATTAATGCAGCAGATATGTGTATGCCTTTGATGATAAAAGCATGAAATTTGGCACGTAATTTGGGTATACCTGGTTAAAGAATTTTAGCCATAGGGACCTCGCAGATTTGACTCGTGAGAGCAATGGTGGCCATTTTCCAAAATGGCTGCCACTTGCTGCCCATAGTCTATTAGGTTAACTTCATTTGATGGGCAAAAATAATCATTTTATTGTAATGTACAGCTGATCTGAATGTTTTTATAAATGGTCATACAACATTTCATACTTTATTCCAGTCTCTAACTCAGTCAGCACAGGATCCATCACACTGGCAAAAAGCTGTGCATGGGAGGGCTGCCTTCATGCACTTGCAAAGACCTCTGCATCCCTTCTCACATCCACACCACAAAAGCTCACTGCAGGCTTGCATGGCTTCTGGCAGCATTGTTCAGCATATTTCCCAGCCTCCCTCTGCTCTTCTTCATCCAGCCCCATTCACATGGTAAAGGAAACTCTGACTTTGCAGCCATCATCTGGGATCAGCAGTATCCAGCTTGGTAGGCAGCTCGTTTGGCGTGCTGTTAAGTGCAGCCCGTGTTGGGGGTAAACCATCCAGAGACCTGCCTTTCTGGGTGATTAGCTGCTTCCTGGCTTGGTTCAGGCACTTCTGATCACTAATGCGATTATATAGGACATCAATAAAGTGCCCCAATAGTCCCATGTGTTCTTCTATTGACTCAGGGCTTGGTCTAGCAGCTAAGGCACAAAATGCTGCAGTGACACCTCCATAGGCATTCCAAGTTTCCCATGCAGTCCTCTTGCCTCTACCTCCAAAGTAGGAAACTGCATTGCACCCAGTAAAGGTATGAAAAATCAGCAAGGCAGCACACTGATCAGGTCCCAGTGCTCCTGGTATATCCTGTGCAGCAATGTATATGAAGTTATTCCCAACTCCGAAGGCAACCCAAAATTCATCAATGTTGAGACACTGGGCGGCTGTTACAGCCAGAACCACGACATCTGTATCTACCGTGTAAATCAACACCTTGTTGTGGCCTTTCTTCACAGCATCTTCCAGGTGTAGTAGTAGGCGTGTGTCTGCCTCTTCATGTGTGAATGGAGCGAGACCTGAGATGTCAACCTGACAACAGGAGCAAAGCACATCAGCATGTGCTTAGTGATGATCTGCTTATCAGTTTCAATTCCGACAGCAGTCGGTGCTAGCCAGGGGAATAGCTCTGTCTTGTCATCGAGCCATAGAAACTCCAACCAGTTCCCAGGGACTGCACTACATGCTTCAACATGTCTCCTAACTCCCTTTCCTCTCTTTCTGCAAGTATCTCATTTCAAGCTGTCAGGCAGATACACGTCCCAGATGATGTCCAATGATATACGGCACAGAGATGTTATTGGCATAATCTTGAAAAGTCCTTGCAGAGCCTGGTCAATGAGTGTTAACAATAGCAGCACCATCTAGGAACAGCCTGCACAGTGGGGCTGGACACATTTTCCATTTTCTTTCACTGGAATAATATCTTCCAAGTAGCGCACCAAATCAGACTTTGTTCCTGTTCGACCGCCCATCTGTGACAGTGCTGGTGGCCAAGCCAGAGACCAGACCTCAACCAGAGTAGACATGCGAGCTATTTGGGAGTAGGTGAAAGTTGTGAGGCTCTATCCTCCAGCTTCCACTCCTCTTGAGAAGCTAAACCTCGTCCTACCGAGGTAATTTTACTTCTTCAGGTATAGAGGGGGTTACAAAAGTTGTCCATCGGCCAAGTGGTGATTTTATGGTTACCTTGGTGACTGGGGACAGTCTGAGTAATTGAAGGAAATAAGGAAGTCAGGTTCGTCAACTAGATCCTCCAAACATCCCATAAGATCTGATTTAATTCCCTATCTCAGTTTACCAAATTACAACAGTGCAGAAAGAAAGGATTGGTTTTCATGCTCAAAGAACTTGTCAAAGTCTCCATCTCGCACTTGAGAAGTTATATGAAGTCTGGAGAAAAGACAACAGTCATTCTTCAAAGACAACACTTGTTGATCTTTAGAATTTGCTCTGACTAGAGGTTGACAAAAGAGAGGAAGATTGTTGCATGTGATGGGATCAGCAATAGGCTTAGCCACATCTACAAGATGGTGTTTGACATAGGTGTGATTGCTACATCAACTCGATGCTGTTTATTTCGGTCAAACCTGTCACATACAAATAATCAATTTACAAGAGGGAACTGATGGCTCAGTGACATATAATATATGAATACATTTTCTTAATATTATCACATAAATGAATACATTATATTAATAGTAACACAATATAAGTTGCATATCATCAGAAGTTGTTCAATTAATATTCTTCACGTCCTCAATGAAACATAATAGGCTTACGAGCACACTTATGTATTGCAGGTCTGGCTCAGAGCAGAAAGCCTCGGTGTGTTTAGGGCGAGCAGTTAGGGCATACTGGTGGTTATATGTTAGCGTCCGGGTAGATACATCAAGCTGATTCTGCATAGTCTACCCCCTGGCTTCATTATAGTAGGACTGAGTCAGCGCCTGTTCGCTTGGTACAACAAACAACATTCCTATCACCACCCCCATACTGGCCACTGCCTAGCAAAGCGATAAAAATAGGAATCATACAGTTCTTGTCCCAATTTCTCCAGGTTCCATACAGTTTCTGCCACAGCAGGGTCTGCCAGGTCTCTGCAGTGCAGCACCAGAAGATCTGTGCTGTTGTCAGTAAAGGGATTTCTCAATTCATTGATGGCATTTTTGAGTGACTGCACATTGGTAAAGTATGCCTTCTGGATATACTGCATCTGTTTAGGAGGACTGTCACATTGTGACTTCTTCATTTCCATTAAGACCTCAAATTCCTCAATCATTCTTGCCCAGATGTAAAAAAAAAAGTATACTGACCAGAAGTATATATGATCATAGAATAAACTCACACAATACACTACAGTACAACCTAGATAAATTGGACTACAGTAATTAGGGCAGACCACAGTCCGAAAAAAGCGAAAGTCCGAAAAGAGCTAATAATACTGTATGCAGGGGGTGTTAAGTACTGTAATGTTACCTACACAGACCTCAAGCTAAAATGCTGGGGGGAGTTGGAGATAACACTGCTTATCTAAACTGTTTAAAGAAAATTAATTGTCATATTACTACTGCACTTCAACAACTAAAGTCTTTAAATGTATAACAAGGTTATTAAAGAATATTATATCACAAAAAACAAATATGAAACAGAACTCTCTAGGTTAAAAATCAGACATATAAGTCTGGTTGTCAGCAAATCTGTTGTCACCGAGATGATTTGTCTTATGAATAAAGAGAAAACTGTACTGTATAGTGTACAGTACTATACAGATAAAAATAAGAGTAAATAAGTGTAGGAGTATATTGTATGTGGAAGACGAGTGTTTATTTGGGATCAGCTGGCAGAGGGGAGGGGGGTAGCATGGGTGGGTGGCTCCATCCCCCTCACTCCCACAAGATTCCTTTAACACTTCTTTATGCAATTCCATCACAATTCTCATATAATTTAGGATCATTTGGAGCCATGTTGATAAAATATTATCCTAAAGGAATCAGTTTTCATGAAAAAAGAATCCCACACTGAACGAATCCAGGAAAAAGTCACAAGAAAAGAGTCACAGAAAAAATGGGACAGAAAAACCAAACCAAACCTAACCTAACCTAACCTATGCGCAATACCTTCATATTTATTTTGTGCTGTCAATGGGTACAAGTCATGTGACTTTTTTCCTGTGACTTTATTTCCATTCGCCCACTGAACATGTCATTTCATACTCATTTGATTGCAAAGAGCAAACAGCTGATTGGCTTACCACAATCTCTGTCTTCAACACTTAGTAAATTAGTAAAGTACAGTCGTGTATTTATCATCACTAATAAATACTATTACAGTGTAAAGTATTATGCATCTGCATATACAGTACAGTACCCTGGTTTATTCATTATCACTTGTCTAAGTGTACAGTCAGTTCTGCTATAACGCGATAGTTGTGTTCTTGTAAAACATCGTGTTATAGAAATTCGCGTAATAGAAATAACAGGGCTTATGGAGAAAATAGGGTTAGGTGCAGATTACTACTCGAAATCGAAAAAAATTTCGTAGTTAGCCTAACACAAAGGATAGCACAGTCTAAATAAATCTTACATTCATATCTAATAATGAAATCATGCAGTAAATGTAACACTTTACCGTGAAAAAATATGAATATAACTTGATGGGGAAGAAGGGTGATTTTGAGGTTGATAACATCAAGCTTCTCTTCAAGGGTTATAGCCTTTCCTTTACGATCATCACCGGGAATGCGATCACCAGAACGCTTCTTGGAGATATTCTTCTTTACCACATTCACAGTTAATGCCACAAAATTGGAGAAATAGTAAGCAAAAATCGCGTTACAGCAAAAAAGCGTTCGCGTTATACAAATATCGTTCCTCTATTCATAAATCGCGTTAGAGCCAATTCGCGTTGTCATAACACGCGTTATAGCAGAACTCACTGTACAAGTCGCCAAACTGAGTCATCATATAATACTCAAAGGTAGTAAATAAAATTTTTAAGAAAGTATCTTCATATCAAATACGTACTATACAATGTGTTATAGTGGCGCCCTGTTGTAAGCTGGTTTATTGAAAGCTGTCACACGAACACATCTGGGTAAACAACCTTCTGATACAGTTTATCCTTTTATTTTCAAGTCATATTACATATTACATACAGTACTGTACTGTTTTTTTTCTCTATTATTGAAGATGTTAAATTAATCATGATGAACCATAAACTATAAGAGGTCAATCATATGAGAATATAATACTGAATCAATAAATAAATAAACCTGACGAATGCAGCAACACCTGATCAGCCCCCAACCTGCTTACATACTCAAGTGTCTTAGTTCTCAGTAAGCCTATAACAAATCTGATTAAACCACTGTAC